AATTAGATTAAAAAAATAAATATATTCTAAATATATATCTATAAATCATTTATTTAAAAATTAATAAATAAATACCGGCAAATAAATACCTATATTATCATAGATTTTAACGTTATGGGAAATTAATTCAACAATCGCTTAGAATTAATCATTTATAAGAATTTTTTTTCAAATACATTTCCGCATTCGCGATTACATATACAAATTAATCCTGATTAGGAATACGCTGTGGCATTTTTGTGATGATTAAACATACGTGCTTAAAGCAAATTGTCGTTCCTGATATTTCATAACTTTCTTCTTTCATAATTAAACAAAATTTTTTTTAATAATGAGACAGCGAATAATTGATATCTCCTTAGTCAAACGAGTCGTCCTGCATTTTCAAGTCACCTAAATCTATTCTACAATATAGCTCTTTGTTTCCTATTTCTTGTTTTTTATCTCTTGCTTTTCCCTCCCTTGCTACTGTTTTATCGATAATTATATTTCTTGCTACGTGTTCCCTGTTTCTTCTGAAGTTCATTATTAACTTTTATCTCGGGCGACTGAAAATCAAAAAAACCTAATAAGAAGCAAAAAGACAAGATGTAAAAAATAGCAAAGAACAAGAAACAGGAAACAAAACATTGTAGAATAGGCTTTAGGATTCTTAAGGGTCTGAAACCGAGCCTGCGCGTAACCCTTTCGCTCACTGCTCCATTCTGCAACGTTCATGAGACGAGTCGTGGTTTACTGGCGAGTCGAATGGCGAAGGCAACGGAGTCCTGGGGGACTTCAAAAACTCACCGGCACTCCCTCGTCTACGCCAATAAATTCTATTTCGCGTTACTTTGCCGCAAGCCGACGCGCGATGAATATTGCGCTCCTTCTCGCCTTCCATCCCCTGTGTCCCTTCATCGTATTTCTTAACTCAGCGCGATTTTTGTACATAGAATCGGTCGCGTGTTACGTTGCGACTGATAGCGTGATAATATGCACGCGCGATGCCGGTGATTTGAACGCTCGATGAGCTGTTATTCCAACTAAACAGCGAGCGAAACACGTTCATTTCTATCTCTCTCAATGTAGATTCGGTTAGTTTAATTTACTCTTTATCTTTTTTTATAATTCTTACACCAAAAGGACTCAAATTAATTGCTAGAATGTCAAAACTTTTTGCAGCATTGCTCATGCTTGAAATTCCTATGTAACTACTTTGATGGCTCACCAAAATTATTTTCAGATCTGCATCTATATAGCTGAATTTTTAGATGCTTCAGCAAAATCGTTCTTTCCACGTTGAGCTAGAAGTAAGTTAAATCGAGATTAAAATTACTAAAGTCTGCATTGGTAAAAATGAACATTAGTAACTATAAAATCGTTGCACATCCTCTTACAAAATTCAATTACAATTCCCGAACGTTTAACGTTCTCATCTGAAGTATCACATCTAATATATAATAAAAAAGAAATCTTATAATAAATCTCGAAGATATTTCGCGACTGTTATGGAATTATGTATATAAAATTATTAAGGATAAGCGAAGTGCAAAAACCGAGAGGAGAAAGACAGAATCAAAAGTTCGATGTAATACGTAATGTATTCGCGTAATATATACGCAACATTCGCGCGATATATACGCGCTGTTACACGTAATGGCTCGAGAGTCAGTTAACCGAGGATCAAACGACACCCCCGTAATGTGGCTTACACGCGAGTGACATCTTCTTTTACCATAACGTCGCTGAATTATGGACAGGCTACAACGATTGGACCCGCGTTTCGGTCCCGGGTGGGATCATTCGGTCCGTCGAAGCATATAAGGGGAGTAAATACTTCACGCATTCCCGATGCGTCTCACAGTCTTTACGGCTTATTATCACCTCCACGCTTTCGCTCTCTCACCCCGCGTGATACATCAACGCGATGGCGATGGCGCACGCGGAACAAAGCGAGAGAAAAAAAAAAAAGAAAAGAAGTAACGGCGAGCGAGCCTGCGTCGATTCCGCGAAGGGAAAATTACTTTAGCCAGAAGTCGTCGGGTCGGTGTCCGGCGCATTTCGCAAACAGGACGATAAACTAAATAAGATTTTGCGAAAAATTGAGGCGCGTTTTCTTCTACTGAGAATAACATCGATAGCTCTAAAAATTAACGAATAAATCTTTGATGGAATGGAAATAAACAATAAAAGCTTACCCTCGTAATGGCATTTTGTTTAAACAAGAAATAAAATTCTCGTCTATAACACAATTTTAATAAAATTCTTGAAAATATATTGAAAATTATTGCAATAATTTTATAAGAATTATCTATTAGAAGACAAGTGTAACATTCATCAAACAACAATAAATACATCTTTATGCATTACTAATTAAAAAAAACATCGCGTTGGCACAAAATTAATTAATAAATCATTATT